ACTACAACTGGTATCAGAGACTGTGGTTTCGGATCTGAGAAAGAATAATAGCTGCAGATGAAGTGAAGGTTTCAGGGATCGACAAATTGGATGACATAGATTTTGGATACTAAATGATGCAGATAAAAGATTACCTCTATAGGAAAAAACTTCATCTTCCGTTATTAGGGAAAAAACCTGAAATGATGGACGAGGCAGAATGAAATTTGTTGGATTAATAAGTTCTGGGGGTTATTCGATTGACTCTATCAAGGTCCGTTGCACACAACGTTTTCATGAAAATGACGACTGCATATCTCATGACAGTCTTATCAGATATGTATGAAAAGTCATCGACGAATAATAGTATACTTGATGAAGAAGTTATTCAACTTGAAGATGACAGAAGGTGTTTTTGTTACTCAACACCTGAATGATTTCAATATTATCACAAATCAATTGTCGTCTGTTGAAATTAATTTTGATGATGAGATACGTGCATTGATATTGTTGGCATCATTGTTAAATAGTTGGGAAACCATGAGGATAACAGTTAACAGTTCTACATGTAAATCTAAACTGAAATATGATGATATTTGTGATTTAATTTTGACTGAGGAGATGCACAGAAAAGATTCTGGCGAGATCTTAGGTTCGAGTTCGGCATTGAATGTTAATTTCAAAAAGATATCACATTACATGAACTCAAATAGAGGGAAATCAAATCAAAGTATGGTCTTGATATTGTTGGCATCATTGTTAAATAGTTGGGAAACCATGAGGATAACAGTTAACAGTTTTGCAGGAAAATCTAAACTGAAATATGATGATATTTGTGATTTAATTTTGACTGGACTGAGGAGATGCAAAGATTCTGGCGAGATCTTAGGTTCGAGTTCGGCATTGAATGTTAATTTCAAAAAGATATCACATTACATGAACTCAAATAGAGGGAAATCAAATCAAAGTATGGTCAGCAAACAACCTACTGGAATTGTGGCAAGGCTGACCACACAAAGAGGAACTGCATAAATCCCAAGAAAATGGAGAATGATAGCGCAAATGTGGTATCGGAAAAAGTACAGGATACACTACTGTTGACAGTTCATAGTTCTGTTGATAACTGGATATTAGATTTAGAGGCTTCTTTCCATACATCATTCTATCGGAAATTGATGTGAAATTATGTTGCAGTTGACTTTAGAAAAGTATATCTGACAGATGGAAAAGTTTTGAATGTGGTAGGAATTGATCTACCAGAGGCTACGGTGCAGGGCAGTGATGGAAGTAGAGAGGAGAGTGGGTCCGGAGCACACATTCCTATTGTTCCACAAACATATGGTAGAGAACCACAGATAAATGAAGAAATCTTGCTAGATGAAAATTCAAGCAAGTGAGAGCTGACAAAACTTTCACTAGGAAAGATGGTATTACACAACAAATGGGTGCACTGAATGAAGACTGAGTTTGATGACAATAAGACCTATAAGGCTAGACTTGTTGGAAAAAACTTTCAGCAAAGGCAGGAGATTGTCATGCAGTGAGAGTTGTAAGCAGAGACAAGAATAACCTAGGAAATAGCTTGGAGGTGCATGACTATGTGGACCTTGCTGATATGTTGACTAAGTTCAGTTAGTCTTGAGAAACTGAAGTTGTGCGCAGCTTCAATTGGTCTTTTGGTGTGAAGACAAAGGGATTTGAGTTGTAGAGGTGGAGGATTCATGTTTGAAGAAAAGAGCGACGCTGTCAGTAGAGGATATCAGTTTGAGGAAGTTGTTGTAGTTTGTGTATCGATCTCTTAGTGATAGATTTGTTAGCTGAAGCCCGATCGAACGAAAAAAAAAAGAAATCCCGCTCCCGCCTCTCACGCCCACTCTCGCTCCCTGTTCCCGATCACGAAAGCCCCGACCCTGATGTTCGCAAACTGTTCCCGCCATTTATGTCGCTTCGCGAATCGACACTGCCCCGCTCCTTTAAGTTGCGAACAGTGTAAGGGCTGGAGCCCGATTTCACCACTCACACTCCCGCCTCTAATTCACGAATCGGTGCTTCCCGTTCCCGCTCCACTCCCGATCGCGATCCCGTCTCCGCCTCCTGTCTCCCGCGCACGTGAACAGTCACGCCTCCTCAGTTTTGCGCGCGAAGCTTCGCGTACCGCTCACGCCTCCTCTATTTCGCAAAGCGAAGCATCCCTTCGCTTCATTTCTCTTCGTGATAAAAGGAGAGGCTCTCATTCAGATCTTGTGGATACGAAGTCACGGTGTTCTTCTTTGATTTTCTTCGGGATAGAGAAAAGTTTCCTCGAGGCAGAGGAAGAGAAGTGCAATAAGTAGTTCCTTGCGGCAGAAGTAAGAAGAAAGAAGAGAAATTGGGTTTATTTCTCTTGTACGTGTTTCTTCTTCTGTGTATCTCGGTGTAGAGAGAGAACATAGAGAGCAACGAAGAGTGAGAGATTCTTCTGTAACTCGAGGTGATCGACTGGTGTAAATTCCTCAATTAGTAAAATCCTCTACAACTCCGTGGATGTAGGCAATTTGTCGAACCACGTAAATCTGTGTGTTCTTTTGATATGAATTTTCTCGTGCTATTTTATTTGCTTCGTTGTCGATCGATTTAAATTTCAAATATATCATATACACCACAATAAATGGTATCAAAGACAATGGCTACAGACGACGTGAAGATTTCAGGGATCGAGAAGTTCGATGACACAGATTTTGATTATTGAAGGATGCAGATAGAGGACTACCTCTATGGGAAGAAACTTTATCTTCCGTTATTGGGGAAAAGACCTGAAATGATGGATGAGACTGAATGAAATATGTTGGATCGACAGGTTCTGGGGGTTATTCGAATGATCCTATCGATGTACGTTGCACACAACGTCGTCAAGGAGAGGACAACTGCAGATCTTATGACAGCCCTGTCAGGTATGTATGAAAAGTCATCGGCGAATAACAAGGTATATCTGATGAAGAAGTTATTCAATTTGAAGATGGCGGAATGTACGTCTGTTGTACAACACCTGAATGATTTCAATATCATCACAAATCAATTATCGTCTGTGAAAATTGAATTTGATAATGAGATACGTGTCTTGATCTTGTTGGCTTCATTGTCAAATAGCTGGGAAGCTATGAAGATGGTTGTCAGTAATTCTGCAGGTAAATCTAAACTGAAATTTGAAGATATTTGTGATTTGATTTTGGCCGAGGAAGTGCGCAGAAAAGATTCTGGCGAGATCTCAAGTTCGAGTTCGGCACTAAATGTTGATTCCAGAGGAAGATCACTTGACAGGAACTCAAACTGGGAAAGATCAAAATCAAAGAACAGAAGCAAGAGCAAGTCAAGGCCTGGTAAACAAGTAACTTACTGGAATTGTGGCAAAACTGACCACATAAGGAGGAACTGCAGGAATCTTAAGAAGGAGATTGATAGTGCGAATGTGGTAACTGAACATGATGCCCTACTGCTGACAGTTCATAGTCCTGTTGATGACTGGATACTGGATTCAAGAGTTTCGTACCATACAACTTTCTATCAGGAATTGATGCGGAATTATGTTGCAGGTGACTTTGAAAAAGTATATCTAGCAGATGGAGAAGTTTTGAATGTGGTAGGAATGGGAGATATTGACATTGCACTTCCAAATAAAAACAAGTGGACTCTGCAAAAGGTCAGACACATTCCTGAACTGAAGAAGAACCTCATTTCTGTTGGGCAGCTTGACGAATGTGGACATTCAATAGTTTTCTCAGATAGTACCTGGAAGGTTACTAAAGGAGCATTGGTACTGGCACGGGGTAAGAAAACAGGTACATTGTATATGACTACTGGTTTAATTAACAGTGTTGATACTACTGTTGCAGAGAGCACAACAGAGTTGTGGTATTGCAGACTTGCCCACCATGAGTCAAAGAGGTATGAAGGAACTTCAGTCCAGAGGCAAGCTACCAGAACTGAATTCAGTTGATTTCAGCATGTGGATCTTGTACGTGTTTCTTCTTCGGTGTATCTCAGTGTTCTTTGTCAGTTGATTTCAGCATGTGGATCTTGTACCAGAACTGAAGTCAATTGAAGTGCAAGAAGTAGTTCCTTGCGGCAGAAGGAAGAAGAAAGAAGAGAAATTGAGTTTATTTCTCTTGGAGGTGGTTTCTCCATTTTTCATCTTCTTCGGTGTGTATCTCGATGTAGAGAGAGAAGTAGAAGAGAGAGAGAGAGAGCGAGGAAATGAGAGATCTTTCTTATAAGTTGAGACGAATGATTGTTATAAATTTCTGAAGTATTAAAATCCTCTGCAACTCCGTGAATGTAGGCAATTTGCCGAACCACGTAAATATGTGTTCTTTTGATGTGAATTTTCTCGTGCTATTTTATTCGCTTCGTCGTCGATCGATTTAAATTTCAAATATATCATATACACCACAACAAACAGAAGAGGAAGAAAGATATCGCACAGCTCTCCTTCTGATTTTGCACGATCTCTTTTGTGTTCTTCGACAATTTTGCTTCCACAGGATAGAGGAAGAGAAGTGCAAGTAGTAGTTCCTTACAACAGAAGAAAGAAGAAAAAAAAAGAAGATTGCTCTTCCTTAACTTCTTCTTGGTGACTTGTGGCAGAAGAGGAATTGAGTTTATTTCTCATGTAAGTTTATTTTTTTAGGTGTATCTCGGTGTAGAGAGAGAAAAAGAGAGAACAATGAAGTGAGAAATCCCTCTTGTAAGTCGAGACAATCGACTTGTGTAAATTCCTCAAGTAGTAAAATACTCTGCAATTTCGTGGACGTAGGCAATTTGTCGAACCACGTAAATTTATGTGTTCCGTTGTGTTATTGTTTTATGGTGTGAATTTTCTCATTCCACTTTTTCTCTTTATTTGTTGATCGTTCTTCTATTTTTACATATATACCACTACAATTGTCACATGACTGAATGACAACACCAGCAAGTCACTAAGTGCTTTCCATTTTAACGGTTAAGAATATGGAATAGTATCAGCTTCAGTTATGGATCCAAGAGTCAATTACAAGTATAAAGGTGCATTAATTACTTAAAGTGTTACCATTACAACAGACACATCACATTGTATTATATTTCTCTCTCTCTCATCTGTCCAACGGTCCAATGCTCAATTCTTTCGATTTGAGCCAGCATTTTTGAATTCAAGAGATAGATATTGACCCAGGTGCTACTTTTATAAATAAATAGCAAATTTTCAACAAGCAAGTATTTCCCTTGTTTTTTTTAAGTTTAAATTAGTCTCATCAAAATGATTCAAACAAATCCCATACAGATTATTGCCTAAAATCTCCACCAGTCCCCCACACGGCCATAGCTCGTAAAAAACAAGCCAACCAAACAACTTAGTGCCTACCGTCGCATCGGCCAACGCAGAGTCTTATCTATATCCCCCAACCCCGCAGCAGAGAGTGCAGTCAATTATTTCCAGAAAAATTAAGCTGGTACCTCACATCAAAACACGATCTTCCGTCGCGAGATCGCGACGCCTCGCCTGCACCTTCCCGCGAGATCCGCCAGCTCCCGAATCGTATCAGCCACAAGATCTTTGAACACCAACCGTTCGATGTGCAGCACAGCCTCCGACATCTCCTCGCCAAACACCACCCATCCTTGCTCCCTATCCCAACTCCCAGTCATCTCCTTCCTTATCACATTGCAGGTCGCCTCCATGGCGTTCGCCGCTGGGATCCGCACCTGGATCTGGCATAGCTCATCCCACACCGCTCGTGTATGGGAGGTCGCGCAGGTGGCGGCCAATGCGCCGGAAAAGGTATCCCAAGGGGAGATATCGCGCTTCCGGTTGAGGAGTTCGGTTACGGTGTCGAAGATGAGACGACGGTGGAGGGTGGAGGAAGTGGTGGTGGAGGAGCGGTGACGGTTTTCGATAGAGGTGAATGCTTCGTCGGCGCTGGGGTGGAGGTCGGATTGGCGGAGCACGTCGAGGACGAAGGCGTAGTCCTCGTGCTGGTCGTTGCTCGACGTGGTTTGATGTTCATGGGAAACGGAAGGAGAGTCGGAACCGGCGGCGGATGTCGGCTTACGTTTCGAATGTTCCTCGCGCCAGTCGGTTAATTCATCTGCAGGACGGAGAATCGAGGGTTTGTTATATAAAAATCGGTAATTTACTGTAAAAGACGAGAGTATACAGCAATTTATTAGGGAAAAAAACATATTTTTTTATAAGGATGCACATCAAGAAAAATGCAGGACGATTGTTTGATGTTTTATATAATTTAAAAGATGTTTATAAAAAAAAGTATTTGAGTACAAAACACTTAAAAATTACTGTTTTTTAAAGAACAATATTTAACCGTTTTATTTTTATGATTTTTTAGATGTCAATATAATATTTTAATCACACTCATTAAGTATTATATTTTTAAGCATATTTTTTTTATTACAATCACCCTCATTTACTTAAAATTTAAAGCTTTCATTGAAAGTTTTAAGTGATTAAAACATTATATTTAAAATTTTAGAGGATTAAAATGTAATATTTAAAATTTTAATAATTAAAATATTATATTTAAAATGATTGTTCCGTAAAAGCCGCCATTATCTTTTACCTAAATAAATTTCACTTGCAACAGTTTTTTTCCTGCTATCGCAAAATCTGGTAAATTTAAAAAAAAATCAATTTAAAATAAATAAATATTACAAATATTTTATTATAAAATTAAATATGCATATATATATATATATATGAGAAGCAAAAGTCAAAGTGCGTAATAAATTAGAAATAAATGACATGCATACATAAAAAACCTTCTTTTATATCTTTTTAACCATGAAATTACAATGCTGTCTTTTACATAAAAGTTAATATTAAGTCAACATGATTATTAAATCCAATGAATGCAGCTGCTGCCCGCAGCATTCACAAACAATTTTTTTAAAAAATTTTGTTTGTGAACTATGATTTACTTTATAATTTAGCAAAAAATTGACACCCGCACAAAAAGAATAATTGCAGACAAACCCCAATGCAAAGCCAGCTGTGCGAGAGCTGGCGAAACATTTGTAAATCGAGTCACGGGGCGTACCAGTAAACCCGGTGGGGCGATTTGGGAGGGAGGAAGCTAAACCCTCGTCGGAGAGGAAACAGGAGTCGAGAACCGATACAGGGCTGCGCTGCCGGTCGGTCGGAATAACCTGTTCGACGGAGGAGGTGATGGCGGCGATGCTGTGGAGCAGCTTGTCGCATCTCTCTAACAATCTCCGCCCAGAACTATAGTCCTCGTTTCCCGCGCGCTGGACATGGCGATGCTAATCACATATTCAATTTATTCATTGATAAAACTGTGAAGAGTGGAGCTCGTATTTACCTCAAAATCGAAATGGGAGGTTTTGCTGGTATCGGAGAGGGTGGTGGAGGTATCGTCCTCAGCCGTTGAATGGACCTCTTTGGGAGAGATGTGATTTGGCCTCCGGTGCTTTGGCGGGAATCCAAGCTTCTTCGGGCTCGATTTCGGGGAATGCGCGGCCGGAATGCGCCGCGGAGGAAGGGGGGAAGTTTGGCCTTCGTCTTTTTGAGGCCTTCGGCGACTTGGTGGGTCTCTAGGGTTCCTCGAGGCTAAGATTGGCTCAGGAAATTTAGGGCTACGCCGGCCGGCGTTACGGAAATGATGGTCGATTTCAAGCCGGTCTGGAAGGGAAGTTGTCGGAGGTGGATCGGGATCCGGTATCCGGCGGGGAGGCGTGGATCTGGAATGTAAGGTTGGAGACTCACTTCCGGCGAGGCGCGGAGGAGGCTTGGGTGCCGGTTTTATGACGACGATAGGGGGATGAACGGTGGAGGATCGGGGAAGACGGTCATAAAAGTCGTTGAGATGGACGACTTGTTGCTCCGGTTGCTTGGAGTGGAGAAGACCTTTGAGCTGGAGAGCCTCCAGGATCTGCTTCAGTGTATCCAGGTCTCTAGCAGGTTCTTCGATTCCTCGCATCCGAAGCCGCTTTTCGACCTCGCCTGAGTGTGATCCAACCTGTTTTGCCTCGGGGAAAAATTCCTGGGCGTCGAAGCTCTTCCTTAGAAACATGCCAGGCGATTGACGCGCGCCATCAGGTTTAGTAGTATCTCGAGATCTTATCGGATTGTAGTCCTTCTGAAGCCTAAAATCCTCTTCAGAGGGCATCGGAAATGGATTCTGGAGGTTGAACTGCAACGGATCTAGTGTAACACGAGACTCGGAAGCGGATCGGCGGAGTTCGGGTCTCTTCGGCAGTTCTTCAATGGGGAGCTCCTCGAGACCCATTAATCGCGCCACTACGCTCGGTGAACGCCGCTGCTTCTCCTGATTATTCCTATCTTCTGAAACCTCTTTCCCGTTGATCACCGCCGGCGAGGCCTGCATCTCACGAGAAGACAACTTCCCCTTGGCATTAACGTTTGCACGACTGTCGAGGGAGAGCCTGGGAGCTTCTGGCAGCTTCCATGAGGCTTTCACCCCATCCTTTATCTCGAAAACAGGAAGCGGCAGTGTATACCTTCCCGGAAAGTTCGTCGCAACATGGTTCTCAGGAGATACAATCGGCGACGGAGAAAACGGGAACTCTGGAGCATCCTTAATCACAGAATCCGTTGACATCCCTGAGTTCCCCGACGGCGAGGTCGATCCAGCAGCCTGCCACCAACCAAGAATGCATGATCTAATGATCTGTTAATTAAATACCTCACAAGAAACAAATAAAAGCTCACCAATGGACTTGGAAGCCGCTTGGTAGACTGAAAACGCCTCCCTGTAAGAATCTGGTGGGGATCTAAAAGCTGGATGAATCCAGTCATACATCCCATCTGCCGCTCCATCTGCTCCTCATACTTCCTATGGCTCGGAACTCCGCGAACAACGCCAATTCCCGGCATCATCTTTCTTTCCCCAGCGGCGCTCGTCGGAATCACGCCGGCGATCTCGTCACTGTTCCCTTCCTTCTGCATCCGAACGCCTAGAACTCTCCTTTAAAGCTGCCATGGGATGTGAAAATCCTCTATTATTCATAACATTTTAATTATTGCCGGTTGTATCCTGAAAATATATGAAATTCCAAATATACCCTCAAAGAAATAGAAAGCATCTCCCGGGATGACACGACTTCCGAGAATTTCACTGGCAAGTGACGGGATAGTCCTACTCCTTAATCTTTGACACTTTATAGATAACAAAAATATATATTTTTTTTATTTTTTTATAACATTTTAAATAAATAATAATTACTATTTGTCTTTTATTCAATTTTAAAAATATGAGAATTTTAGATGCATGCCTTGAATTTTTTTGTATTTACATATCTGGCTTCTAAAATTTTATATTTATATTTCTAACACTTTAATATATAATATTAAAGATTCATGTGCTCTTCATGCAAATATAAATATTGAGATATGTAAGTCTATATAAATTTTTTGGTAAGTATGTAAATGGCTCTCATAATATAATGACAATAAATTAATTTGTCCTCATTCAAGACAATTTTTAACTAGGCTTTACTTAGCTAGGTTAGTTGGCGCATTAACCATAAGTCAACCTCTATTCAAGCCCGTTTTGACTTTTTTTTTTATTTTTTTTTTTTTTTGGCAAATGGTGTAATTATAAAATTTGTGATTTAGGGTATGGGGAGCTAAAATTTATTGAATAATATATTGATAAGCTGAATAAAAATAATTTACTCATAAGCTAGGTGTAGTGGTTATTACAATTTTTTATTTTTTTAGAAAAATCAGATCGTTGTCAGAAAGTTGTCACCGCACCTAGATAGATGCGGTGTGAAAACGTTGTTTTCAGCTTTTTGAAAATGCATAATTTGTCAAAACACAGTTTACCCAAACAGACCAGTTAAATTTTCAAAACATCACCGCACCAAATAAACTGCCTCAAACGGACCTTAATCAACTCCTTAGAACAATGGATCTCGAGAGTCTTTATGCCACAATTTTTGAAGTAAGCTTTAAATTTTACTTTTATTTTTAAAAATATATTAAAATTTTATTATGTAATATTTAAGTTAGAATCAAAAATTAATTTTTCATTCACTTTTAATTTTTTTTCAAGCTAATATATATAAATAAAAAAAGTAGATTAAAATATATAAAAACATTCAAGTTAATATTCTTTTTTTTTTCTTAAAAAATTAAAACTAATTTAAACTCTATATAGCCACGACTCCAATTACTTAAATATTATTTTTAAATTAATTCATATATTAATTAATTTTAGGATATAATAATTAGATATAAAAAATAATAGATTAATTTTTAAGGAAAATTAAAGGTATTTAGATGGTCTAAAAATCTATTTAATTTCAATTAAGCACAAACAAAAGTTGAAATTGGTTAGAGTTGTTGGGACCATTAAAAATACAATTAGAAAGGCACAACTTTTAATGTATGGGGTGAATCTTATGAAACTCCATAAATGTTGAATCAATATCAATTTTGACTTAGAAATTAAAAAATTAAAAGAAATAAGCAAGAAAATAATAAAATTTATAAAAAAGTGGTTAATTTTGTAAATAATTTTTTTATTTGTAATAAGACAAAAATAATTAATGCAATTTTTTTTTTTTTTATTTCCATTAGAGGTGAAGATTGTGATATGATTGTCAGCTCAATCCTTGTCCTTACCTCCTCATTTTGTCATCTTTGCAACTTGCATGCCGGCTAATCCTTCAACGGTGAGGGGTGATTTTTTTTTTTTAAAAAAAGAAATTAACAAATGGTTAAATTTCTTTTCAAAGATAAATTTATGGTTAAATTTTAATTAAATTGTTAACAATTTTTTTTTATTAATTTTCTATTTTCGATTTAAAAATTAAGTGAAGATATTATTTGTCAAATGCTAGTTTTTTTTTAGGTGAATTTTTTAATAAATATAATTGTATGAGGTTATCATTGTATTTATGCATAAAAAATGAGCCAACATGGGTCCTGAGGAGATCCAAACAAGTGGCTCGTTCATCTGATCAGACATAATTGTCCGGGCCTAAGTTGTAAGTCGAGCGAGTTAGAAGAATGACAAAAAAAACATTTGAACGATCTGAATCTGAACCAATCAGACTAAAACAAGACATATAAGCATCTGAGTTTGTGACTACAAGAAAATCGGCCAAAGGGATCAACATACTTCTGGTAGATCGGACCCGAGGAATGAATCCAGTTCTCCGCTATCACCAGTCATCCTACGAACACCACCGAAACTCCTTTTTAGGGACCAACAATTGTCAGGTGTGTGGACTCTCCATGGTCTAGTGAAACTCTCGATGGAGCTGATCCGTGACGAGGGCGCCACGTGATTGAGTGGAGGAGAATGTCAAGGACAAAAAGTCTCACATCGGCTAGGTGTAGGGTCGAAAAGTAATATTTAAGTTCTGGGATGTCCACCACCCTGAAGTGCTCTTTTGGGAGGTGACACTAGACTGGTTCTTTTGGCAAGAGCTCATCATCCATAGATCAAGGGTAGACAATCAAACTAAATTAACCGATCGACAAAGCTTATATGATCGTGTTAGTCCCGCCGACCCAAGGTTAATCGAGCTCAACCGACCGACATCACATACTCAACCTAACTAACTGGATCAACCTCACTTAGTCGCATTCATACTAGCCAGTCATACGAGCAATATAGCATTCAAGCAATAAACTCATAAATGTAAAATACTTTGAATATCTTGTATATCCCTTATTAAAGCAGAGAGTGGAAATGTAATTTCATTATATTGTATCATCTGCCTATAAATAGGGGCATTGTTTTTTTAACAATAAAATATACAAGTCATATTATTATTCATTGTTGTTCACTCCTTTCTCTACCCCTCTCTCTCTCCCTCCTTTTTATGTTATATTCCTGGGTGTGATTCATAGAAAAATTAGAATTTAATATTCTAAAATGTACGGTGATTGTTGATCATGTTATAGACAAGGAGAAGAGCAGAACATGAAGAAGAAACTCATAACAATACACTAGTAATACGAAGTGCCCAAGAGAGTTTGTGAACTAGTAGATCCACAGGTTAAAGAATCAAATGTTCGATGTCACCTGAGAGGCACTGGCTTGGGAAAGGGAGCAACATTCTCGAAAGGAAGGTTTGGTGCCTAATGGTCGAAATGGAGACTCTCAGAACTTTGACAATGTTCGGTTAACATGATTGATAGGCATCAGTTCAGGCGTACTAAGACACCCTGACTAATTTAAGAATGGTTTCTATCGGTGGATCTCTGGCGCCTAGCCCCGATAGAGGTTCAAGGTCCTGACATTGATGTCCTATAAGGGTAGAAGCGATCCAACAAAGAACATAGCCTTGCTCATGTCGACTATGTGTCTATTGAGGATCAATGATGCTTTAAAGTGTCTTTTGTTCTTCACCACACAAGGGGAGTCAACCTTAAGATGGTTCAATACACTATCATTGGGAGTAATCACATTGTTCACTAACTTCAAATAAATATTTAGCACCAGTTTGCTAGTGTCCAAAAATCACAATAGAATTCACGGACCCCCTTAAAAATCAATCAAGGGAAAAAGAAGTGTTTGTGCTCAATCATCACTCACTTTCAAAAGGAGATGTTGAAAGTATGAGATCTAGAGCCCATATTGGCTTATGCCACCATAGCTCAAAGGCTGAAAGAATGACATTTCTAATACAATTTGGGTCTACAATAGTCAAAGACACTAGCTGAGTAATTGAAGATTGCCAACAACCATATATCAGTCGAGTTGTACAACTCTAACCTTGCATCCTTCAAAAAGTAATCATCCACTTGTTGCTTGTAGAAGAGGGCTCCCCAAGGCAAGGTGGAGACCAAGAGAAAACTCACTCCCTTTCACCCATCCATAATACGAAGACCCTCAAATGCCTTGAGATCATAGCGTGACTGATAAACTATACAACCAAGGAAGTCAGGCTTGATATCTTGATCAGCGACCGGCTCAGTAAAACGAGTGCCCGCTGCCCGACTATGACCTACCAAAAATGACTCCATTGAGAGTCTTAATGGCCAAAATAATGGAGGTTGTCCAAAATAAAAACTACTTCAAGAGAGTGCTTCCAATGAAATTTGGAGCTTACCTACGAGACCTAAATAATATTATGGTTATCACCAAGAGCACAACCATGTTACGGAGGATGACGACAACTCTGAAGTTCAGTCAAGAAATTGATCAAAGTTAGAAAGATAAGAGAATTTGTAGCTCCAGTAACAACAACCCAGAGGCAAGAGAAAGTTTTAGCGGAGGGAATTTTATCTTGAAGTGTAAAACCACTCATCCACTTAAGCATTCTCATCTCGGCAACACTTAACTTAGTTTTATGCCTCTCTTTTAATGGCGAACATTCAAATCCATAGAGCATTGCAGGTCTCACCACCATCTTATAAAATTTTCCTTTCAGCTGAAGCATTACTTTTCTACACAAAATAGGCTCGAAGCTTTCCTCCACTTTAACCAACCAACTTGAATTCTACTAATAGCATCCCCATCTATATCACCATCACTTTGAATAATAGACTCAAAATATCTAAAGCGTTCACACCATCACTTTGAACATATCATAAGGCGGAATCAAAAATTTTCTCATAAACTTTTATATGATCATCAAGCATCTACGTCGGTTCAACATAATATTCAACCAACATTTTCAGTTATCAACAATTTTATCCATCCAATTTTATTACCAAGCATTATGTGAAAAGGGTAGAGAATGGAAAGTCTTTGGTCTAGAAACTACTTTTTGTGAGAATTAAAATATTGCTACAGTTGAAGTACAAAGGCCTATAGAAGGACCCACATGTAAAGGTACAGTCTTGAAAATAGGAACTTCAAAAAATAGACAAAAAGTGATGGCACTGTAAACACCCAAATACATTGATTGATGGGTGAATACCCACTATTTTCTTCTTTATTATACAATTCTTACAAAAATGTCATTTTTATTACAACGCTAATCATCAACTACCACAATGGTAACTTTTTTATTGACACCGGCAACTCGGTGAAAATTCTGTTCCAAGAGGTGTCTGATAATATGTGTCTTGAAAACGACCGGATGATTGTAACAGCAGGTCGACTCTATGGCTTTTCTGGCGAGA